GGGTACGGTGAGTGGGGCACTGTTGGTGGCTGAGTCCAGACAAAATGAGGGAGGGTGAGAAGAGAGCTTCAGGCTGGATTCTCCCTTCTGGATTCAGTACGTCTGCTCTTTGAGCATCTCTGGGTACAACTTCCTACCCAGCATTCCCAGGGGAGCTTGGCAAAAAGCCCAAAGTGTGAGGACTTTCCCCTGCTGCCTGTCTGGCTTCAGAGGACACTGCAAAGGGGCATGGAAGGAAGAAGGCTTGAGAGAGAGCTCAGTCAGGGAGGCCCATAAGCTTCTCTCTTCTGATTACCTCAATCCGCCAAACCTGGATCAGCCAGACTGTCCCTCCTGTGACTTGTGCATGAAACCAGCTCCTGGCCTGCTCTGAGCCTTAGGCTCTTTCCTCCAGTTCAGAAGATTTTTTTCTCCATCTCTGTGCGTCTTGCCCCCTTTGTGGAACCTTCTTCCCTCACTGGTCCAGCCAGTTAGGCTCAGAAACAGGAATGCAGCCTTTGACCATCCTCTTCGGATGACCCTCTCTGTAGAGCCAACACCCCAACTCCTGTTCCTGTTGCACAAGGCTAGGTTTCTGGATCAGGAAAAGGTCATTGAGTTTTTTAGTGCCTTCCAGGGATGGAGGGACTGGCCTTGGACTCTGGCTATCTCTTGTACTTCTAGAAGATGGGAGAGGCTGGCCTCCCTGGCTCAGAGGCTGGCATGGAGGATTCAGGCAGAGGAAAATTTCCCTGTCTTCTCAGACAGAGGTTCAATTATGACATCCCAACTGCTGGCCTAAAGGACTCTCAGTCTGAACCTATCCTCCCATCTTCCTCTAAGTGTCTCAGGTGGGCCAGCAATAGGGCCATGGTGGACCCTGTCAAAGGGTCACAAGACCTCTTGTCCCACTGTCCATCCATCTAAAGATCTTCCCTTTGTCTATCCTTTTCTGTGCCTGCCTATTTCCTTCCCAGGGGGCATCTGAAAACATCCTGGGAGCTTGCCCAACCAGGACCCCAGCAGCCAGTATAATCCTGAATTTAGGCCCTTCTCTTTCCTTTGACCTCCTGGTGGCTGCCCTGTGATGGGCACTCGGGACAAACTGGCCTGCCTGTATCCCAGATTACCAAAGTCCTGCCCGGTAGGAAACCAGACCTTGACAGTTGTGCATGTTTTGATGTTTTGAGGGGAGTGAGAGGCCAAGAGGGCCAGGAGGACCAACAGGGCAGCTGGCAGAGGTGGCTCAGGTGTGAATAGGAGACCTTGAGGCAGTTTGAGTGTTGGCCAATAGGGTACTAAGAATGGATGACACTGAAGCACACAAACCTCTTTGGATTAATGGGGGCAGGGTAGAGGGCTGGGGGAGTTGCCCCCTGGGGGTGCCCAAGCTCCCTTTGTGTCTCCATCGATGTCCTGTGCTTTTCCACTGCTCACCTCCACTCGGTAGCAGACATGGGAACCAGACAACACATCTTCCCTTAGTCATGACCTTGCAGAAGGAAAGAAAATTTGTTCTCATTCCCTCCCACTCACAGCTGTGCTAAGGCCTGGCTCCTCACCTTCTGCTGGAGTGGGAGTGAGCCCCAGGGATCTCAGGCTCCGAGACTGGGGTTTGTCAGAGACGCTTCACACCACTCTGCACCCTGGTGGAGGGCTGGGCTGGATTTCTCTCAGCTTGGGGCCCAGAACTGCCCATCCTGCCCCTGATTCCAACCCCAGGCCCACCCTGCTAGAGCTGAATTAAGTCTGAGCTCCCAGACAGCAGGCCTCACTGTTGGTTCTTCCTGTCCCTGACTGCCTGGCGCCAGGCTGGAGGGGCAGGGCAGGGCTTTGGGGACAGGGGGGTGGAGTTTCTGTCCTTGCAGACAACCTACAGGGATGCAGGTCTTGGAGAGGCCCCAGTGGGCCCCGAGGTTGCACTGGGAGCCCTGAGGGAACTCAGGACCTGGAGACCTAGAACTCAGGAATGTGTTCAGCTGGGGGTGCAGAATGGGGGCAGGGAGTGGGGCATAAGCTGGTTCCCTGCTCCTATTCTGTAAGAAATCAGAGGCCCCCTCTTACTCTCCAGTTTCTAGAATCACATCAAGGCCCAGAGGAATCAGCTGTGCCAGGAAAAGCCATTACCCTGACAGCCTCCCTCCACCTGCTAAAAGCTTCCCTTCCCCGGGGGCCTCCCTCTCACGATCCATCTCCCTCACCTAGCCCTGGCCACCTCTTTGGTGTGTATATTCAGGGGGGAAGGGAGACTTAACTCCTTCTAGGACTGAGGAGAGTCAGCCCTTGGCCCTGCCCCATAAATAGTCCCATCTCTTTCCACCTTGAATTCCTCCTGCCCACTTCCCGGGAGCTCCTGTAAAGAAGGGGAGGGGAGCAAGGGGCCACAGAGATCAGGCCACAGTAAGAGGGGGCCTCTGATTTCTTACAGGAAGACGGGCTGGCAAGTACAGCTCATGGATTCCAACCCAAATTCTGTCCCTGTACTGGTTGTGTCTTGGCGCCTTTGGTTCTCTGGTGCATACAGGGCCACTTGAATATCCCTGGGGGATGATGAGCTAATGTCATTCTGTGACTTCTGGGGTGTATAAGGACCCCTTCCTTCCTCCTGACACAGGAATGCTCCTGTGTGCTCTTCTATGCTCTGCCTCATTTAGGTCACTGCTGGGGGAGACCGTGAGGTCTGATCCTGCATTCATGCTACAAGGGAGCAGGGGTGGGCAGGAGGGACCTAGGAGAGCTATGAGATCTCTGACTTTGGGTATACTATCAGGATGGCATGAGAAGGGCCTTATATTGCACCCACCCCTCAGTTAGCCACAGAGAGGAAGGGGCCCAAGGGGTGAAGGGGGCAGGCTGAGTTCCACTATCTGCCAGGCTCAATGCCTTGACCTCTCCAACCTGGCAGCCTCCCACATGCCCCAGGCCACAGCAGCCCTCTGTAATTATAGGGAGCCCATTCTATCCCTCAGGGCCCACAGGACAGGTGGTGTCTGGACAGGTCTCCAGCTCTCTGGGAGTTGCATCCTTCCTATCCCAGTCCTCCCTCAGGGCTCACCTTCCTTCCCCCTCATGCTGCCCTCCGTCAGGTCCCATTGAGAAAAGACAAGGTGGTTCTGTATCACAAATAAGAGAAGCGCATGAACTGGGGCCTCCTGTTTGCCAAGAGTGTGACATGCTTTCCGTCAGATACTCAACTACCCTCTGTGGCAGGCACTAGTTAGAAGAGCCAAGGCCCAGAGGGGAGCCAGCCACTGGGGAAAACACAGGCTTAACCCAGATCTCTGAGCTCCAAAGCCTGTGCTTATCCAAGGATTTCACAACTCAGCCAGGGCAGCCAGGGATCCCCAGGTGTAGAACCAGAATTGAGTCATCAGTTTTCAATTAATGAAAAGAAACTAGGCCAGAGCAAAGGGGCAGGCCGTGAGAGGGTCACTGAGGCTAGGACATTCAGTGCTATAGATTGATAATGAGGAATTATATTTTACTTATATACTAGTAATTAAAAGTAATAACAGGGCTGGGGCTTGTACCTCAGTGGTTAGGGTGCTTGCCTAGTTACGTGCAAGACCCTGAGTTCAATCCCCCCAAAAACAATAGCAATAGCAAAAGCAACAATAATTACTAACAGTTTTATGATACTTAAAGATGTGCCAAGCACAGCATATTTAATTCCCTTCCTTCCCACAGCGACCCTACAGGTTGTTGATGAGTACATGATCATCCCCATTTTCCAGATGAAGGAAATAAAGCTCAAGGAAGCTATGTACCTTACCCAAAGTCCCACAGTTAATGGTGGCACTGGAATTTGAAACCCAAGTGGTGTGGCTGCAGGATGCTGGTTAGAATCATTGTCACGCTGCCTCCCAGTCAAAGCAGACCAGGAGTCCTCAGTTGACTCTTGGAGCCTCAAGATGTGACTCTCATAAGAATGGTTAGGAGCTAGGCCACAGAGTCTCCTAAGTCTAAAGGACAGAGGTAGTGGTAAAGACCAGAAAATTCCAAGCACTTCCTGGAGAAAAGGCACAGCTGGGCTGAGAAGGACCCCAGGCTGGTGTTGCTGATGCATGGAGCAGATTGGGTCTGAATTTCTGGGGTGACGGCCTGCCCCACATTCCCTTTGGGGCCTCTGAGGGTGGGCTTAGGGCTGGTGAGGACAAAACCCTTACATCCCACCTGGAGCGACCGGGACTATCTGTTCAGCTGCCTCCCCTGCTGGATGTATGCTGTGGCTCCCTGAGGTAGGCTCTCTGGGAGGAGACCTCACGCCATGATTGCTGCAGCAGTCTTTTACAGCGTCTTTTACAGCCCTGGCAGAATAATCAGAACAATGTCTTCAACACAAGGACATTAACTTTGGCATTGAGCTGTCTGATGGCTCTGGATCTCAGGGAAGCCTAACCCAGATATCTTTGGGCTGCACTGGGATGCAGATTCAGCTCCCATCTCACCAGGGCAGCCTGGTCCTGATAGTCTGTAAGTGCTTAAGGGTCCCAAAGCCCTCACTATCACCCCCATGCCCAGCTACAGGTGCCTGGTTATGGGTTCCCAGTCTGCAGCCTCGGGAATCTGGGTCAGAAGCATAGAGAAATGAAGACCAAGAGGCGTGGACATCTGGGAGGAGTACCACACCACCACACTGTTTAGAGACCCCCTCCCACTAAACAGAACCTAGAGAAGAGGGTCAGGTCAGGAGGAGGGTCGCACACAGACTCCTACAGGGACCTTCCCTGAGAACAGTCAGGAAGTCAGACAGGCATGGTGTCTGGTGTCTGAGTCAAAGTGAAGGCCGCACAGTGGCAGCAGATGGTGTGTCCCCAGAGCAGGTGGGCGGGGGAGGGGAGGAAGCCTGGCGTCCACTGGGCTAGGGATGAGAGGGATGACATGAGTGTCTATGTACAGGGTTGGGGGGACCTCTCCATGTTCTGTCCACCTTTCACCCAGATTTATGGACAGTGAATTCCCTGAGCCGGCACTCGGCAGGCAAAGTGCCTCCCTGATTCGCCCTGCCCCTCTTTCCCCAGGGAAACCACATCTAAAGAAGCTGACCACCGGGGCTCCAAAGCAGTCACCTCGGTGACCTCAGAGCCCACCAGATCCCCCATCTGGGGGGAAACAGTGAAAGTAGAGACACTCGCTGAGAATTCAGGGCAAGAAGGTGAGGCTGGGGGCTGGGTGGGCTGGTGTGTGCGGGAGGGGCTGTAACACACACCCCCAGCTGTGGAAGGCAGAAACAGGCTCCCCACTCAACACAGCTGGAGGCCACCTGAACCGCCTCCCTGGGCTCTGTTAAAAGCATTAAAAAAAAAATCATAATACCGTCACGCCTCATCTCCCCAGCCTGCTGGAAAAATGAGTTGTTCCACATAAATGAATGCAAGCTTATCTTTTTTATGACCGTTGTTATTATTTTCATGGTTGTTATTACTGCTGTCTCCCACTGAAATGGCACATTACAGCTTCTTGGCATGTCCCCATGCATCGATCATTAGAGTCACCACCTCCCAGGAGGAGCCATGATGCTCCCATTGCTTAGAAGAGAACACTAAGGTTCAGGGAATTTAAATAACTGGCTCAAGCTCGAGTACTCAGCAGAGAGCCTAGGATTCAGTATTGGATTCAGCACTACATGTTCTCACTGGAGCTCCTAGGTTCTAGCTGCTGCCATTTGAGGTTTTTGTGTTGTTGTTTTGTTTTTGTTTATTTAGTACTGGAGATTGAACACAGGGGTGCTCTCCCACTGAGCTACATCCCCAAGCTCTTTTTATTTCAAGACAAGATCTCACTAAATTGGCCAGGCTGGCTTTGAACTTGCAATCTTCCTGCCTCCCCAGCAGCTAGTATTACAGGCATACCCCACCACATCCAGCCAAGTTTTGGGTTTTACTAATGTCCCTAAAATGGACACTTATTCCTGCCTATTCCTCTCAGACTATTCCTGCCAGACTGAGCCTCCAGGTACCGGTGTATGTGCACACACATGCATACTTACATCTTCCATGCTGTGGGCCCATCTAAAATCTAGTTTGGGTGACAGCTTGGCTAGGCACACAGGAGCACTGGCTGGCTGGTGCAGGACTGCTGTGGCGCACTGGCCACACAGACTACAGGTACCCAGCTGCATCCCTGGTCTCATCCAATCAGAAGACCCTCAGGCTGGCTTCTTGTTGTGGCTCTCCCCAAGAGGACAGGCTTAACCTCTCTTCTCAAAATCTTGCCAGAGACTTAGAACTCCTTTTCACCTCACAGATGGCAAAAGGCCACTGCTAGAGACTGTGGGAGGGAGAGAGGGAATGGCAGGGGAACCTCAGTGAGAGGAGAGGAGACAAGTTTGAGGTCCAGCCAGAGAATTTTTTTCTGCTTGTAAAGGGATACATGAAACTGTGTGATGGTTTGAGATGACACAAAAGAGGAGGAAAATTGGCAAAGGATTTTATGCAGCTACACGTGTCTGCCTGGGTGTGCACGTCTCTGTGGATGCCTGCATGCTAGTTCATGTGTTCGTGTGAATAGTATTGTGTGTGAATACGCACTGTCTCTGTGCCTGTAGGCAGGCATGTCTATGAGTTTTGTATGTGTGTGTGTGCATGGGTGTGTCTGGCTGCAACAGTGTGATCTGTGTGCATCTGACAGTGCATGAGTGTGTGTGTGTGCACGCGCATGTGCACACACACATACATGCATGTACATGAGGAAGTTAGGGGTTGTGGTGTGTGGACCTGGGCTGTACACATCTGGGGTAAGAGAGGAAAGGGTGTGATGAGGTCAGTAGCCCTGGGGTCCATCTGTGCAGCAGAGAAGGGGCAGGACTAACTGCAGGAGGGATGGAGGAGGGTGGGGAGGAAGCACAGGCAGGCAGGGAATATTGGCAGGCACCTCTTTGCAGATTGAAGTAGCTTGTTGGAACCCGGTTGCTGTGGTGATGCAGGGGGTGGGGGTGGGGGAGATGGGGGCCAGGCCAAAAGGCGGGAGGAGGGTGGGAGGTAGCTCAAGGATGTGTTAATGAAAAGCAAAGGGGGAGCTGCAGACCCTGGGTCAGGGCCAAAGCAGGCGGGTGTCAGAAAGGGCCTGTGGCTACACAAAGGGAGCAGCGGGAGGCCGGAAGGGCGCAATGCCCAGAAAGGAAGCTGATGAAGCGTGCTTGTAGCATGTGGACAGGAGCAGGGAGGAATGGCTGTCCACTCCCCCAAGTTACAGCTCATCTGACTAATAGAGCTCCAGAGATGGGGGTATGGGGGCACTCCTCTTCTGCTTGGCCTCAGCAAATCCCAAGCAGATCTGGGAACTCAGGTCCATCAGGAGTGAGCACGAGGGGCCGCCACCTCCATAGCTACTGTGGCCTTGATCCAGAGCACTGGAATCCCCCAGCTGAGCTCTGCCCAGGGCTGGGTGAGTATGTGGAGAGCTGCAGATGGTTAGGAAGCAGGAAAATAGTCATGAGGAGCATTTGCACAGAATTGTGTAGCTTAAAACACACTCTCCTCCCTCAGCTATCCCAGGGAAGGGACAGGACTTCTTTCTTCATTTCTTCCTTCTTTCCTTCCTTTCTTTCTCTCTTTTAAAGTATGAACATTTTGCAGAGCAGGTCCATGGAGCTCAGAGAGGTTAAGTGATTTGCTAAGGATCACAGAACAAGTCAGTGTCTTAGACTGGAACTTGCGTCTTCTGACTTTAAATCCCTCGCCTCAGTCAATCTCAAAGCCCTTTTCCTTTGAGCATGGATCCCATGCAGCCAGCTCTCAGCTGGTGTCTTTCCCTTTCTGTGTGTTCAGGGTAGCTGTAGGGAAGAATGAAAAAGGAAGGACAGTTGGTAAAGCCTTTGGTTTCCTTCTCTACCCCCACACCCAAATGACCCATCCCACTCCAAGTGACCTGGCTGCTGAGTTTGGGTTTAGCACTGAGCTTCGTGTTGGCTGAGCTGTCAAGGGCTGGCAACTATCCTTGGTACTGAAACCTTCCCCTCCCGTGAAGAGAGGCTCCCAAGGGTCTCAGGCACATTACTCCACCTAATCCTCTCTTTCCTGTTTTTCTATAGATCTCTCTTTTATCTCCTCCCTCCTCCATATCTCTCATTCCTCCTCCATTCTTCTCTTCCTTTGCTCCTTTCTCTTATTTTCTTCCTCCTCAAATCAGACTTCCAAGAATGGCCAGATGCCTCAAGAGTCACCAAATCCAGATTTCTCATCATTCACTTTTCTAGCTGTGTGATGGTGGCTCAGTTATAGAACCCCTCTGTGCTTCACTTTATACATTTTTAAAGCAGAGTTGGCAATACCATGGTGGGAACTTGTTGAAATAATGGTTAAAGTGTGCACATTCAATGTCTGGTACACACAGGTACTCGCTAAGTGGGACCACTGTAATCTCCAGGGCATCTGTGTTTATTCCTTAAAGTTCATCCTGAAGTTCATGTCATTTAATGAGAAAAATGTTATCTTATTTGAAAGTGTTTAATAAGTGGAGTGTTATTCTTAGTGTTGAGACTAATTTTTATTTACTTGGAGTAGACTTTTATTGATAGTTGCATAAAGGATTTCTGGAGCAGATCACTTTTTCCTTATTGAGTTTCCTCACCTGCAACATGTGGGGGTTGATTCTTCTCCATCCTAAGGAGCTGGTGGGAGTGTTTACGACCAGGGCCTTCTTGCTTGCTTGTGAATCTCTGTGTGCACTTGTGTGTCTGTTGCCATGGGGAACTAGGCTTAGTTTTGGGGGTCCATCCCTGGGATGGGAATTTCCTAGCCACAGGGGAAAATCACATTTTGGAGTCCTAAATGCACCTGGCATGGAACCTTGCCTTGCTCAGAGGCTCAGACAGTTCTTGTGGAGATATGTGCACATGTGTGTTCCACACATGTGTATGATTCCTCTGTGTGGCTTGTGCCCCTTGCTCTTAGCAATATCTCTCACCCCTCACTCTCTAACCACACTAGGAGGTAAGATGTTCTATCAAACCCTGTCCTAACCCCGTGCTTAATTTTTTTCTCTCCAGATGTGATCCTAAAGGTGATGGACTATAAAAATAAAGACAAGCTGTTGTCCTACAAAATCCCCATTAAATACCTGCGTGTCTTCCACCCCTATCACTTTCAGCTGGCAAATGTAAGTCACAGCCCTAGGCTCTGGGCATGCCCTCTGGCCAGAGCTGGTGGGAAGAACTTTGATGCCCTCAAATAATCTCTGAGAGCAAACTTAAGACATCCCATGCTCACTCCACAGTATGACTAGCCTAGGGACTCAGGAAACATCACTCACGGCAGGTAGATAGAAATAATGCCCACAGGAATTTGAAATTCTCACAGACCATGGGGTTGCACCCCTGTAATCCCAGCTACTCAGGAGGCTGAGGCAAGGGGATTGCAAGTTCAAAGCCAGCCTGGGCAACTTGGCAAGAGTATGTTTCAAAAAATAAAAAAGGAGCTGAGTATGGTGGCACACACCTGTAATTCCAGCAGCTCAGGAGGCTGAGGCAGGAGTATCGCAAGTTCAAAGCCAGCTTCAGCAAAAGTGAGGCACTAAGTAATTTAGGGCTGGGGATGTGGCTCAGTGGTTAAATGCCCCTGGGTTCAATCCCTGGTACCAATAAATAAATAAATAAATAAATAAATAATCAAAAAGGAATGTATCTTAGTGGTAGAGTTACTACTAGGTTCAATCCTAGTAAGGTGTGTGTATGGGGAGGGGGGTGGAATTCTTGTCCATGAAACAGCTCAATTTGCATAAAACAACTATCACATTACATGAATACACCAATGAAAGATTTCACATATTATAAAAGAAGGAGTAGATCAAGGAAATACAGTATTTACAGAGTACCTACCATGTTCCAAGTCCTGTGCTAGATGCTTCCCACATCATCTAATCCTCAAGGTGAATTACATTTTGCTTACATGAGACTGGAGCTCAGGGAAAGGAATCTTCTCATCCTCGGTCACAGAGAAAGCTGCAGAGTTGAGGTAGAGCCCAGGTCATGCAGTCTCCTAAGCCAGCTCTTTCTTTACCATCTCCACATGTGTTAAGGCCCAGGAGGAAGGCCCAGGAGGGGTTGGGGCATGTGGCAGGTAAAGCATTCCCTGGAATGTGTCCCTCTAGGGGACAACGGAGCAGCAGCCTAGACCTCCCAGGTTAGCTTTCCTGCTCCCACCCAGTGCTGATTGGGGGAGGGGGAGAATTCACTCCTTCATTGCTCAAGTACTTACAGCACCTACTATTGCCAGACATTGGGCCACAATGAGAAGAAACATCAGTTTTCCCTACCCTTACATGCATTCAAGGTCTCTTTCGTGAGATAGAGTAAAGAACATGTGAAGCCAAATTGTCTCTGTTCCTGTCCCAAGTCTCCCATTTACTAGCTGGATGCCAATAGAAAGCTAGTTAACTCCAGGCCCCCATTCTCTGTCAGCATACCTCCTGGCATGGTCATCTGGAGGGTCCAGTGCAATGAAGGGCAAAGTCTCAGGCACATGAGATATAGTTCCAGTAGTCTCCCTCCTCTGACTTCCTTTTTTTTTGGTACTGGGGATTGAACCCAGGTGTGCTTAACAACTGCACCACATCTCCAGCCCATTTTTATATTTTATTTAGAGACAGGGTCTCCCTGAGTTGCTTACAGCCTGGCTTAGTTGCTAAGGCTGACCTTGAACTCACGATTCTCCTGCCTCAGTCTCCCAAGCCGATGGGATTACAGGAAACACGGGCTCCTCTCTCCTTCCAGGACCTTTCCAAGTAACCTTTCATCATGGCCCCAGAGGTCTTTATCTTCTGTAGGCCCCAAGAGGAACTCAACCCTAGGGCTTCACAATGAGGCACCAGGGTCAGCAGGGAAGCAAAGATACAGAGAGATGAGTGGCTCCCCCTGGAGACCCGGCACTTGAGCTCCAGTTTGGGAGTATTACCTGGCCCCTGGCCTTCCATCCACTTATAGCCCAGGCCTCGTTATCACATCTTTACCAAGAAAGCAGGCAGCAGGGTCTTTGTGAGGGCGATGAAATATCCAAATGGAAAGCAAAGATTTATTATATTGATCTCCTTGGAAGGGCTCACAGGGACCATGAGCTTTAATTATCAGCTTGGAGCCCCAGCGGAGCAATGCCAAGTGATTGTCTGCAGAGGGCTGGATTTATGGCCAGCCTTGGCCCCTTAGATAGTCTCCTTCTTGTGTGTCTTCTTCCCCCACCCTGTCTCCAGTCTACCCAGCCTTCGAAAGAAAGCAAAGAAACTGCTGAGCCCCAATTGTACGCCACCATCGTTCGGAAGAACAGTTTCCTCCCCCGCTACGTTGGCTGTGACCACACAGCTCTAGAGGTACCCAGCTGTGGCCTTCTGGGGTGGTGGGTGGGGCGGGAAGGGGCCGGGTTTAGAGCAGGCCTTGCCCTTGGCCATCTCTGACTGGCCTGAGAGAATGGAGCACAAGTGTCCAGGGAAAAAAATCAAGGAGAAAGCAACTGGATCTTTCCAAAATAGCCAGAGTAGTGAGTGTGAAGACAAAACTTGATCTGGGATAAAGGTGTCCTAGCCTGTCTTTCCTCATTGCCCTTGAAAGTGACAGAAATGGGGGCTGAGTGATGGCTATGCTTTTCATGTCCCCTCTTCCTGGCCACGCTACAGAAGGGACCAGAGTCTCCCATAGCCATGATTCCTTAATGTCATGGAAGTTGGGGAGAAGCACTGTGTGTCTTACCTTTTCCCATAGCCTCTGACTGTTTTCAGTCCTAATCTTCCCTCCTGGGGCAATGACCCTTGACCTAGGGCCTAGGTGCCTCAAACAAAAACTTAGGTCTCCCTGAGTCTTGCTGAAGTTTGGCTAGTCTGACAATTAGGTGTCAGGAGTTCATTCACTCATTAAGTCAGTCAACAACTGTTCACACGGCCTCTTTCATTAGACAGGCTAGGACTGGGTCTAGCTTGGCCTGGCTTCTGCCCCTTGAATCATCACCCTGTACCCCTTGGCCCTTCAGCAGCTTCAGGAGAAACAGCTGATACTCAAGGAAGACATAGTCCATAGGGATCTGTCCCCTCCATCCTCACTCACAGCCTTCAAACTGCCCCTGGGTGGCAGTTTCATATCCACTATAGTCTGGGTACTATTCACAAGACCCAAACTCTGGGCTTCCCATAACCCAGCATGGCTGACTTAATCTCCCCAACCCCCTATAGCACTGTGAGCCTGGCAGGGCAAGAACTATTCTTGAACCCTATTTCACAGCTGGGGACATTGAGACCCAAGGGTGTAATCTTGTATAGGAGCCCAGAGCTCCTGACCCACATCTCTGCTTCTCCACAGCCAACAGGCATCCCATCTCTCCTCTTTCTTATATTTGGCTATTTCCTGGGACAGTCAGCTGCCCACTCACACACAGAAATAAGGAAGAGTGGTCATACATGGCCTTGCTGTTCCCAGGCTGCACACCCACAGGAAGGGAGTCACATCCCCAAGATACAGGCAGAATCTTGGGCCTGCAGGAGGCGCTGTGGACCTGCCCCACCCCCAGTCCTTTGACTTGTGGGCCTCTCTGGCCCCCAACACCCCTGCTCCAGCACAGACCTCTCCCTGTGTGTATGACAGACACAGCCGCATGAGCAGATGTCGCTTCTAATGGCAGACTGGAGAGCACAGCAGGAAAAGAAATGGCTTCTGTTGCTCACCAGGCTGTCACTGGCAGGTGTGCCTGGGCAGCTATCTCATTCACACATGACCAGAGCCAGAGTAGAACAGGTGGAAATTACCCCCGGCCCTTCAACCACCCCCCTCAGCCCTTACACCTGTTGGAGTCCTGTAAGTGACAGGGTCTAACAGCTCTCCCATGAAACAACACCTTCAGAGATTCCCTGGAAGGCTTTGGTGAGAGCTGAAAGGTCCTCAGGACTATTTTGAGCCCTTATCAGCTGACACACCTGTGTGGAGTTAGCTAGCAACTGAGATGGGTCCTGGCAGAGGGGCCTTAGGGGACGGTGCTGAAGGAGAGGATTCCGAACAATCCTCTCTCTGGCCCTTAAAGGTCAGAGCTAGAAGGATCATGGAGATTATGGTCCAAACCCTCAGTGTACAAGTCAGGAAACTGAGGCCTAAAGTGGAACAAAGGCTGGCAAGGTGACCCAGCTGAAATAGGCATGGCGAAGGCCTCTTCCCATCCCAACGTATGCCTGAGGCATGGTCCCTCAGCTGTACCCAGAGCCCCTTCCCCTTCCTGCTTTTATTCCTTAGGATTCTACTGTCCTCTAAGACCAACTCAGCCCCAGACCTCCCTTGGGTCAACACCTGTCTCTTCCCCCCACTCCCAGGTGTCTGCATTTCTCTTTCACACTCAAACATAGAGGCAACCTCTCCTTTCTCTGTTCTCCCTCAATAATGTACTCACTTGTCCCACAAACATATATTGAGCTCCTGCGCTGTGCCAGGCACTATGTTAAAAGCTGGGAATGCAACAGTGACTGAGCCAGGCATGGTCCCTACCCATATGGAGCCTGGGCACTAGTCAAACAGACAGAAAATAAATAAGACATAAATTAGAATAAGCACAAACTATGATGCGTGCTGTGGAAGAGGAATGCAGAGATAGAGAGAGGGAAAGGTTGGGCTGCTTTAGCAAGAATGGCCAGAAGACTGCTCAGAGGTGGCACCATATAAATTAGAGGAGAAAAAGCAGCCATGATAAGTTGCGGGGGGTGGGGGGAGTGGCAAGCAGAGGGATCAGAACATGCAAAACCCCTGAGACAGAAACAGGCAGAACATGTTGGAAGAGTGACAGAAAGAGTCTGGAGCAAAAAGAGGGGGCTGGGAGCTAGCAGATGTGGGCAGAAGGGCCGACAGACCAACACATGCAGGCCTTGGCAATATGGTAAGAACCATGGTAGAAAGGCTGGGGGTGGAGCTCAGTGGTAGAGCGCTTGCCTAGCATGTATGAGGCTCTGGGTTTGATCCCCAGCATGGCAAAAAGCAAAATCTATGGAACACATTTAAGGAGGCCATTGCAGGATCTGAAGCAGGGGAGGGACATGATGATCCCATGCATTTCTAAGAAGACAGTTTTTACTACAGTGTGGTAAAGAGAAAGGGAAGATCCGGCATGAGAATGGAGGTGGAGTGTCTCCTGGAGACACTCCAATTTCTTCTCTGTTGCCTTCCACCACGAACGTGGAAAGTAGCACCAAGAGATGACAGAGGACAGGAGATCATCCTGGGAGGGCAATGGTGAGTGGGTGATAGCTGGAACCGGATGAAGACAGGAGCCCAGAGATGCTGATGTTAGGGATTCCCTTCCAAATCAACCCTGGCTAGGAAAGCCTTGGGGTGAGCCCCAACTGTTCCCAGGAGAATCCAAGGAAAACTGGCGGTGAGCTCTGACCTTGGGAAGCTCAGTGTAGTTGGAGAAACCAGACCTAGGGTCTGGTTTACAAGGTGTCCTCTCACAGCCAACCTAATCAGAGACTCTGCATAGCCCAGAACAAGCCTGGATAAGGGTTTTTTGTCCCCTTTGATGGACAGAAACTGAAAGGAGCCAGAACACCTAACTAACCCTAATTGTGCCCCAGAAGCCATCAGGGGAGCCAAGGGTAGAACCCAAATTCCCTGACTCCTCCCAGGCCCTGACTCTTGTCTCACACCTTGTCCCCAGTGGCCCCTGCTGTAAAACATTTCACTACTAAGTCCCAGCAGTGCCCTAAGGAAACTGGGGTCACTTGCCTTAGTCAGAGAAGGCTGCCTCCTGAAGCAAGGCAGCCGCGAGCAAAGCAGGAACCAAGTGAGGCGGGGAACCGAGAAGAGCAGATGGAGGGGGTGGACGATGGCTGGGGAAGGAAGAGCAGGCAGGATGGCGGGATCTGTGGGAGGGCTCAAGGCCACATGGGCTTCACCTGCCTCCTCTCTTCTCCAGGTCTTTCTCCGGGGAGTCAACGATCCACTGGTCAACAACCCCAACCCCATGGTGGTGATTGCCCGTGTGGTTCCCAACTATAAAGAGTTTAAGTAAGTGAAGCCCAGGGGGGCATGGGCAAAGAGCTGGGGGCAAAGGACAGAGGTGTCACTGCCACCACAGGCAGCTTCCAGGAGCTCCAGAAAGCTCCCCTCCCCCAAGACCCCCCAATCTCCCTCCCACACCCAGGTCTGAGGTCCCAGAGAGCTTCCTGCAGCAGAGACCTCAGACCCCTGGAAAGGGGCAGCTGGGACATCTCCTGAGAGCAAGCAGGGGAGGAGGATGAGACCTGCATGGAGCCTGAGGAGCTGGAAGGAGCCAGTGTGTGAGGATGAGAGGGGACCTTTACCCCCGCCCCCAACCTGCCTCCCCAGCTCAGACCCGCCATCCCGCAGTCCCCTTTCCCACTCTAGTTCAGGGACACGGTCTCCGCCTACCAAAGAGGCAGGCTAAGGCCATCTTGGAATTCTGTGACGTTAGCCCTACCTGGGAATCCTCTCAGCCTCCTGGAAGTCTCCCTGGTCTCCCAGCCCCAACTTGTTCCCAACTTCTCAAGACGTCCTTAATATACCGTCCTCAAGAGGGGATTCAGGCTAGTTTGGCCACTGGAGGTGGGGAAGTTTCCCCAGTGAACACGTGCTCTCTCCTGGGAGTTATATTTCTGCCCCCTTGTCACTTCCCCTGGCTCTGATGATCCAAGAGAACCCCTTAACTCATGTGCACCCCCTGTGGAGTGTTTATGACCTTCCTTCCTGCTTGTTGGAGGAATGAAGATGACTGCGCACTGATGTCCTGATACCCAACAAGCTCAGAGACACACACACATACACGGCTCTCCATGCCCCTTAAGCCTACACTGGGTTTCCATGATGGGATGGATGGTGGGAGTTATTTTGACAAGATCTTCCACAAATGAAGTGGGTAATACAAGGCCCATTTTTGTTTTGTTTTGTTTTGGGGTCTGCGGGTAGAATCCAGGAGTGTTTTACCAAGCTACATCCCCAGTCCTTTTACTTTTTACTAACAGGTCTTGCTAAGCTGCTGGGGGTCTCACTTCTGAGGCTGGCCTCATGCTTGCAATCCTTCTGCCTCCACCTCCAAGTCATTGAGATTACAGGTGTGCCGCACTGTGCCTTGGCTTACAAGGCCCATTTTAAAGATGGGAAAGTTGGCCAAGGCCACAGCAAGTAACAGACAAGGGGACCTGGGAGCTACAGCCCATCTCTTGACCAAGATGAGATTTTCCAAAGCTTAGGTCAGTTGTTGAAAGACCAGGGTCCACCAGACATGTCACAAGATTCCAACCTGAATGAGGCAGGCCGCCGTACTCTACCCCTCTCTCACATCAATCCAGACTCCAACTAGGAGCCCCAGCTGCCAGGCTGGGGACAGGGCCAAGAGTACCAACCCCTGTCTCTTTGCCTCCCCAGGGAAAATCAGGCCAGACAGAGTCCAGCCTCTATGGGGCTGCACATCACTCCTCTCTCCTTCCCTATCCAATCGATGATGAGTTTTGATGTGCCTCGGGTCAGCCAGAGTGGGTACCCTCAGGTATGGTTCCTTCCCTCATTTCGTCTTCTCACTGGTTCTTACTTCTGGTAACTCACCCACAAGTTTATTGCTTTGCTCAATCATCCAGCAGCACTTGACTATTGAAGGAGAGTTTGCTGCATACCCAGGGCAGGCCTTATCTGTCAGGGCATGCTTGCTCTGAAGAAGACAGGAATCGCACCCATGGAAATATTAGACATCAACGCAGAACATGAATCATCTAATATCAAACCAGAAAAGACAATCAGAACTGCAAAAATCAGAACAGACACAAAAGAACAGCTATCATATGATTCCACTTATTTGGGATTCCTAGAATCAGCACATTCACAGAGACAGAAAGTAGAACAGTGGTTACCAGGGGCTCGGGAGAAGGAAGAAGGGGGAGTTAAAGTTTATACTTGGGGTGATGACAGAGTTCTAGGAATAGATAGTGGTGATGGTTGCACAACAATATGAATGTATTCAACACAACTGAATTGCTTAAATTGGTAAATTTTATGTTGTGTATATTTTACTGCAGTAAAAACGTTTTAATTGATCAGAGGAGAGGGTTGTGAAGCCTAGGGGCATTCAAAAGGGCAATCATGACTTTTTGATATGGGGAAGGTTGGTACAGGGTGGTTGAGAACAGCAAGAACATGATGTGAGGCACAGATACCCAGGACATGGTACATGCCAGGGGTGGACAGGAGGGCTATGTGTCACATCACACTAAGCTGAGGATGGGGTATACTGATTATGGCTGGGTCCTGGGTAATGGCCCTGTTGTTCTCTTCCCCGAATGCACTTCAGTGGGAGCTTACTCTACACAATGGTTCTAACATGCCTAGAAGAACAAAGGGGTTCTTGGAAGTCCCTTTTCTTTTCCACCCATCAGCATTCATGTCTGGCACTGCAAAACTAGAACAAGACACTCCTTTGGAGCCCCAGCCTTCATTTAAAGGCAAAAACATTTGAAGAAGGCTCAGACACAGGCAAGAGTGATGGTGGCAGGAAGGAGTGGGATAAAGGGAAACCCTGGGGACCGAAGCTTCAAACCCAAACCAATCCTCAGCCTGATTTCCCCAGAGTCAACTCACACATGGCCCTGCATTTGCCCAGAAAATTATGAACCAATCAGCAGGCTGTCCCAAGGGGCGGGAGGCACTGACTGCTTTAATGAGTGAGCCCCCTCCCATCCCTGGGCCCTCTTGCTGCCTAACTAGCTGAGTGGGGGAGGTGCCCCTCACTATAGAGACTTCCCCCCAAGGCCTTTTCTATGTGTAAAAACTTGAGGTCAGGGGTCTAGGACACCAGCACCATGGCAGCTGGGCCAGGTTGGGAACTCACTGGTAGCCCGCACAGAGATACCCAGGTGCTGGCAGTGAGTGAACAGGGCACGTTGCTACAAGGGGGTGGAAGGTGGAGTGGTTAGAGACCTACCTGGAGGGGCATAGTCAGCAGGCCTGGACCCAGAGCTTACATCTCCTGCCCTGTCCCCTCTGAGCTTCAGTTCTATCATTTCCACAGTCAATGGGGTGGGGATTTGACTAGATGACTTCCAGGGCCTGTCCTTTCTGATATCTTGGGGTACAATAGTTTCTCACCAGCTGCCATCTTACCAAAGCACTATGGGCAGGGGCTGGAGGGTCCAGCAGACTTGGGTTTGATCTGTGACTTAATAGCTATGTGACCTTTGCCAAAATGCTCAATTCCTCCAGACCTACAGATTCCTATTTTATCAGGCTATTAGGAGAACTTAAAGGATAATCAGGGTGAAACATCCAACCATAGGCCAGTTAAATGGATTCTGTCCCCTTACAATCGTATCTTCCCTAGTACCAAATGTTTCCTCTTAGGCCAGCCTCACGACTGTCCATGTTATATTTGACTTCAAGTAACAGAAAAGTTAACTCAAATGGACCAGAACATTTAGGATGTTTATTATCACACACACAGAAGTCTTGACATAGGATGCTGCCAGAATTGCTGTCCTCAAAAGATTTGGGATCTCTTTGGTACCCCAAAATTGCCTTCACCCAGCTAGCTAAAAGCTCATGTTTCAGGCATCCCATTCAGATATGAACAAAGGCCAGAGAAAAAGGGTAACTTCTTCTTAAGTGTCACTTTTATGAGAAACTTTTCTCTGTGTGAGACTCAAGTCCAGAGGCCCAGGACCCTCCCTGAAGCACAGCAGCTGGGCCAGGTTTAGAATTCACCAGCAGCCTCTGGGTTCCACCAATCCCTCAGGAGACCTCCCCTCTCCTCTTATTGGTCAGAATTGGATCATATGACTTCTCTTAGCCAATCAGTGAGGAGGGTGTGGCTCTGCCTTGCTGGTAGCCAATGTGCACACGTGTGGAGAAAGGACGCTTCTGGACAAGAGGGTGATCTGTTGTCTGTGAGGCAGGAAGGAGAATGGTGATGGGGTGGGTGGACCTGTGTCTGCTTTTCTGCTCTCAAGCCTAGTGAGTGCTGCAGAACTTGAACTTTGATGAGCTCAGGGATGGTGGGCTATTAGGTGCACCTAGGTTCCCCCACTGGACCCAGCAGGCTGCCCTCTTGCCTGGCGTCCTCTAGGCGCTAGGGCAGAACTCCCAGGAGCTGAAACACAAGCAGGGGTGAAAGATCCGTCTGTGCCTTACACCACAGGGGCCTTGTCCATTCCCTCAAACTCCTTTCTAGTGCTGGCCTTCTTTCCTGCTGGACCATTGCCGCATCCCCCCCCCCCCCCCCCCCCCGCCCCCCCCCCCACTTCTATTCACCCTCTAAGAAGTAGGTTGGGCATCCCCTGCCTGGGGCTGGGTCCTTCCCTTTGCATCCCTTATGGCTATCACTGACAGAACAAAGCCCCCCTTAGCCAGGTCCACAAGTTCCTTGTCTCCTCCAGCCTCCTGGCTCATTGCCCCAAGTCACACAGGCATCTCCCAGTGCCCCAGGAGGACTTGCAGTTCTCTACATTGTTGCTCTCCTCCAGCCTTCACCTTTGCTGGACTCTCAGCCCAGGTTGCTCCTTCTTTCCTGCCCTCATCCCTCAGGCCTCCTTGCCCCAGGTCAGAAGGTGTGGCTTTCTCCTCAGTCATCCACAGTGCACTAAGGCCTCTACATGGATCCTAGGGGTGTGTGTGTGTACACCTGCATGTGTGCACATGTGTGCTTACTCATGCCCTGTCCTCTTGGAAGGTGGGGAACTCTGGATGGGGGTAGGGTCTGGCTCTAACTCCCCATTCCCTGCAGCACCCACATGTATGTCATGGGGAAGTCTCCCAGTCACATTTGCTGCATTCAGTTGAACTTTCACCTTAATAGCAAAATGTTGTTTCCTTCAACTTCACAATAGGCTTTCAAGGTGTCAATCATAAGGCTACTTCTGTACAATGAGAAAACCAGGGGAAGAGGTTTGAGAAAACCCAGAGAGTGGAAGGGGTTTGTTGATGGTCATACAGCAAGGTTGAGGCAGACCCAGGCCTACAGTCCAAAGGGCCTAGCTCCCTGGAGGCCCCACCCCAGCATTCTCCCAGGTTGGTCCCCACTATGCCTAGGCAGAGTAGGTAGCAGTAGGTGTGAGTGTGGGTGGGCCCAGGAGAAATCAGATGAGAGGCCATGAGCCATGGAATAAAGGCTCTGTCCCCAAGGAAGGTAAGTCTGCCTCAGTGGCCCGGAGGGGTTAATGGCTTTTCTGAAGATCACAGCTGAGGGTTAATCACATTCCTTAATTCCATAGCCCACTGTGGCCTTTCCCATTAGCATCTACAGGCAATGTCTACCCTCACCCTGCCCCCACCCAGCACATACATTAGCCACTAACACCTTCCCAGGACCCTGACATCAGACTCTGCAGGTTATATTTAACCTTGAGACACACACACACACACACACAAGAGAGAGAGAGAGAGAGAGAATGAATATGAATATGAATATGAATCAGAGAGACAATGAGACTGACCCTCCCTCCCCAATTCAAGTCTGAGGAGATCTTTCCTGGGGGACTCACCCTGGGAAACATTCAGGGAAGTGGCTGTCCCTCATTAGGCACGCAGCCACTCACCACCTCTTGCTTTATAGACCCCATTTAGACACATTAATAGGTCCCAGAGCAGACAGTGAGCATCCATTAAATAACCCTCTTCCAGGGTGAGGGCAAGGAAAGGGGCAGCAGGGGGATGAGCCACAGGTCCTCCCTGAGTGACCTAATGCCTAGCAGCTGGGCCAGGCCATCTGGATGCCTCTCTGGCACCCGGGAGAATGGGTGTCTCTGGGAGGGACATGGTTTGGGGATCAGTCCTGAAAGATCACTCTCAAGCTCCACAGAACCCAGAACCAGCTTCTCTGGCTTAAGCATGGTGGCCACATGGCTCTCCCAACCTTCCATCATGAGTGTGTGAGGATTACTCCACTCTCATCACCCCAGTCACAATTCCCTGACCCTGCACTGGCCACAACCCATCTCGCGGGGGCCAGTGAAGGCACAGTAGAGGCTTGAGCTGGGCTTGGGAAAACTAGAGCCAGCCATCAGTGTGACAGGCATCAGGGTTGTACCACCATAGGGTGGGACAGAACCCATAATGATGCTCCTCCTTAATGCAGCAGCAACAGTCCATGGAGCATGCATGCTGACCTTTTTTTTTAAAGCAATGATGAATTTCCACAGGGGAGCAGGAGGTGGGAGAGGCTGCCCCTGTTTCTGACAGCTCCTGATGGGGGCAGAGGCAAGGCAGCCACTCAGAGAGCCTGTGCCAGTGACCGCAGCCCTCCCTACACTGAGGCCCTGCAGGGCTGCCTCCCATCTCCCTACCTTCTCCCTACCTAGGCCCAGCTGCTAGGCTTCTGCAGTTGCCAGGCCTCCCCCAGGGTCACTTTCCATTCTAGAAGTTCTCCACACTGCCATACTCAGTGCCGCATCCACATTCCATTGCTTGTGCCCCTTCCCATCCAGAAGATCTTTCTCCCTCCCTTTACCCTGTCCAGTCTCCCTTCAGAACTTCCTCTGATCCTTTGGCCTTCAAGGCAGTTTCTCTAATCACCCACAGAATGTCTCACGTAGCTCCTTATTTAGGTATTGGAGTTGTTTCATTGTCTAAATTGTCCCTGTGTGTATGTTCCAGCTGCTGGCTTAGTATGCCATCAAGTGCCCCAGCACCTGACAGCTCACATCACAAACACACCAAGGATCTGGAGTCTGGGGAACCTATAGGAGGCAGAGAAGGGCTAGTGACAAAAGTAGATGTCATGTCTAATTTTACACTTAATGATACCTCCAGCCACAGCACAGTTGTAACATTAATGCAATACTTCAGGAAAACAGTTCACCATTCAAGCACCTTAAAATATGCATGTCCTTTAACACAGCGATTGTTTTGTGTATTTGAATTTGAACCAAGGAAATAATTGGGAATATAGAGGTTCTTGGCAAAGAGCATTCAGTACAGCGTAATTGAAAAAAAAAAAAGATTGGGGGAGGGAGAAAATAGGCCACTTGGGCATGACAGGAAATAGTCATGGGTAAGAAGAGTTTCTTAATGACTCTGGATATGCCTAGGTTTTGATGGTAAATGAGAAAGGCAGAATACTGAATGACAATCACTGGTATATAAAAAATATGCCCAGAAAACAAAAACCAACAGTTTTATGAACAGTTTTCTGTAGTGTAGGAATATAGGGGATTTATGCTCCTTTTTATTTTACTTTCTTTTCTAAAATGTATTAAATAAGTATGTGCTGCTTTTATAATTGGGACAACCATTTGTGGTATATATATATATAGAGAGAGAGACACACACACACACACAACCTGATGTCTTAACTTGGGAGAAGCTATTGCCCCACACCTGCTCCCACCCTCTCTTTCCAGCTGTCCAAGCCTGGGGGACCTCCAGAGCTACCCCAGTGGAATCAGTCCTTCCTCTTCCAAAGCCGAGATGGAGGCACCAATTTCTCCAAAAACGCAGCCTTGGTGCTGGAATACTACTCCTCTACTTCAGGTAAGTGTCCCTGGTCCCACACCAGGGCAACCCCACACCAGGAGACCTGCATATTTATGAAGGGGTTTTGGAGCTATCTTGCCTCTGCCCTCTGCAGAGACGGGTTAAGAGCCCCTCGGTGCCAAGACAGACTCACAGTACAGGCAGCCAAGGAGAGGAGGGCTTGGCTAGATTCCCTTTCCACATCAGTCGCAGCCATAGGGACAAGACCAGGACGCATGGGCCTATTCCCATACTAGCTCCCTGGCTTTTACTGCACCCATCAATTAGGAGGCAGGGGTGGAGCCCTGAGTTCATGGCTCCCAGAGTGCACAGGGTGGGTCCGGGTAGACAGGATTCAGAGACAAGCTGATCCACAGTCTTACTTCCACACTGGAATTGAAGTCCCCAAAGGACAGAGACAAGGGGAATCCAGAGAAATACCTAGAGGTGCAGACTCTGTTTAGAGTTGGCTTTGAATTCACAAACCCCTGAGGACAGAAGAGAAAGAGGATGTATGTGCAGAAGAAAACCAGTAGGCAGGAGAGCAGGTGGGTGGTGGGTGGGAGAACTAGATCTCCATATCAGAGGATGGGGTTCAGGTGGGGCCCACACGCTGGGATCTGAGAAGCCAGGTGGGGTCTTTGGTGGAAGCCCCAGCTGGTCTTTCCCCCACAGTGAAAGGCAGTGAACCATGGACCTTCGGCAAGCCCCTAGGTGTCTCCGTGTTGCCGCTTAAGAGTCGTTTATATCGCAAGATAATGACAGGGAAAGGCTTGAATGCGCTGCGCATCGAGCGGCTCCCCATTACCGTGAGTCCCCTGCCCTAGGGGGGTACCCCACCTGGTCCCAACTCCTCCCCAAATATGCTCCACCTTGACACAGCTTCCAGGAGATTTTGGTGAAGCTGAACCCTGGGGGAGCTCCCCAACACTAAAGACCAGTCTTGCCTCTGGAGCTGAAGAACCAAGCCAGAGAAACCACCCCTGGGGAAGAAGCACAGGGAGGCCTCCAGGGACAGTGACAAGAGCTCAGGTTCTCCGCCAGTTCTGGGTGTGAACCCTGTCTTGCCCCATCCTCTCCATGGAACCTGAGGCAAATTACTATGGGAGAACTAGATCTCTGGACCTTGGAGTCCTCATCTCTAAACTAGGAACAACATGCCCAGGTTCTAGAGCCAGACTCTGCCTGGGTACAAATTCTGGTTCCAACCTCTTACCAGCTTACACAACTGTGGGGAAATTGTTGAAAGTCTCCACACCTCAGTTTCCTGGTCTATAACTTGGGCATGTAATAATAGTACTTTTATAATAGCATTGCTGTGAGATTTTGTCAGGAAATACGTAAAGCACTTAGAATGTGTTCTCAAATAAGAATGAATATCATTATGATCAACATTATCTATTTCTCTGCCACCTTTTTCCCTAAAATACTTCTGTCCATCCTGACATAGCACATATGAGGAAATGGGAACTTCCGCTCTGCCAGGAGATGAGCCTGGAGGTACTATTCAGGTCTCTAGAGGATTTGAGAGGGCAGTGTGGAGGTGGTGAGGGAGCAGAGGCCAAGGCCCCACCCCCCTACCCTGCAGACACCTTCTTAGGGAATGCAGAACAGTGGGCAGAGCAGAGGCCCGTAGCTAGTTGCCCTGGCCAGAGTGAGCTGACTTCCCCTTCTCCTCCCCAGGACACCAACCTGAAAACCATAAATGGTGATGCTCCCACAGTGGATCTCTCCTTCCAGCTTCTTTCCTCTGAGGTAAGGCTGTGCTCCAGGGGACACCAGGGTTGGCAGATGTATAACTCCTCAGTGAGTTCCAACCTCTTTCACAATTGTTGGCCTTGTTCTGGGACAAGGGGCCAGGGACTTCTGGGAGAAGGGCACTGCTAATTTGGGTGGGAATGTCTGAGGATGATTTGAAGCACCAGAAAACCAGAGAAAAAGCTGAGAGAAGAGGGCCACCTAGACCTAGGAATAGGTCTCTGATCCAGGCCAAGCCAAGCCTGTTTCACTGGGGTCAAGATTCTACAAAGGTAAACTAGGACCAGTTTGCTTTTGCTGTATCACAAAATTAGCAGCTTAAAACAACACCTGTGTACTATCTGACACTTCTGGAAGTAGGTAGTTCCACACAGTGTGGCTGAAATCAAGATGCTGGAAGGATCATTTTTCTTTCCAGAGGTTCTGGGGAAGAATCTGATTCCAAGCTCATTTGGGTTGCTCAGGATCCTGCAGTGTTGGACTGACATCCCAGATTCCTTGCTGGCTGTCAGCCAGGGGCTCTCAGCTCCTGAAGATCACCCACATTCCTCCTCTCAGTGACCTTCTCCATCTTGATGCTAGCAGCCATATCCAATCCCCCTCACACTTCAAAATTCTGACTGCCTCTCTGTTGGCAGCCAGAGAAAATTCTGTGCTCTTAAGAGGTTCTGGAATGATAAAGTTGTGCCCACTGACTGTGTCCCTTATCTTGGCATCAGCTGGGTCACATAATGTACCAAAATCAAAGGCAGCCATAGCTCACCATATTTCAGGTTGCAAGGATTATGACAAGGAATCTTGGAGCCCCCTATTGAGAATCCTGCCTACCGTAGCAGGGTTGGTCCAAATGGAAAGGCACCTGAGGCTGAGTCCTGCTGATGGATGGGCTGCTGTTCCTCTAGCTAGCTATGTTCGGGCTCTGAGTCCTGCTTGGATCCTGGTCATGGGGCTACAGTGCTCCTAATAGGCACCTGCTAGAATTCTCTCACTTTCCACTCTGTGATACTGGGATATGGGAGGTTTGACCATGAACCAAGGAAATGTTCAGGATGTCTAGGCTAACCCACTCCTACCAACTCCCCATGCCTGTAAAAGTAGCCACGAGCTCTGAAGACCTTGCCATGAAGAACAAGGGGAGGTCCATGGTACAGGATATGAGAGGCACATCTAGGAGGTACCAGCCCAAAAGGATCTCCCCACAAGTCTCTCCTTGCTGTGGGTGTTCCGCATTGTCATCTTGACAGTCCTCTATCACCTGGTAGGAGAGAGCTTGTTAGCTAGGGTCCCTGATGGCACCCCCTACTACCACCACCACTGAACCCGGTACAGGAACCAAAACAGAAGAAGCAATATCCAAGAAAAGGGACATGAAAATTGTCACAAATTTCCCAGATAGGAGCCCAGCCCTCCAGGGCTTTTCCCAGGGTCTGGAGTCTGCCAGTGGCCACCGCCAGCTCGTTCCTCGCATCCCTCTGCCTCCTGCTGTCTGCACTGGGCACATGCATCCTGGGACTAACGGGAGTGCCGGTGCCCTGGTCAGGGGACTGGCAGACCCAGGCAGGCAACAGGCAGGTGGGCAGGACACTTCCCCAATTGCCTAAGGGCTGGGCACAAAGGTCTCCAGTGATGAATTATTCACCGGAGCTGTGCTAAGTGCAGAATTAATCCCTTTCCTTCCAGCTGGCGGCCTCACTAAATTATCCCTCCAAGTCATGCGGGAAAACGCTGCCGAATTCATTTAGCTGCTGAGTGTTTTGATCTGGGCCTTGTGATTTTAGCTTCCCCTTCCCTGAGCCCCCACCCCCTGGAAGCGGGTAAAAAACCCTTTTAGTAATGGATTTCCAAGAAGAAAGGAAAAGAAAACATATCAAGATTGGGTGTGTACCAGGAAAATAGTACTAGCAGAAATTCCATTCCATCGGCCAAGAATTCATACACACAAATTCCACACATGCACACTCTCAGTCACATTTGAATGTCTACGTGGGGATAGGCACATACGCATAGATTTGCATACGTGCACACACACACACACCTCTGCAAGGTAGCACCCATTTAATGCATATGTACCTGCTCATACATGTGTGTAAACCAACAGATGTCTTCACACCCTATTGGCACATGCAGAAGCTAAATCTCCTTATAGCTTAACTGTTTCTTGGTGAATTTATCTGAGAACTGGACAATAAGGACTCGCTTTGACTCTAGAATGTTGAAGACCAATTTAGGGGACTGAGTATGAAGAGCTAGTGTGAGTGGGTCTCCCATAAGGTTCTGTGGCCATGGTACCCATTTATTCATTCTTTTATGCTGTGCATATTTGATGAGGAACCCCTAAATGCCAAGCACTGTGCAGGGCAAGAAGAATTTTGTCTGTCCCTGTGGACTGAAGTGGGAATAGAAGCCAGTGGTCATGGAGCCAGCTGCCTCAAGCTCACCTTCAGTGGCCTAGAACAAGGTTCTCCTCTTGTCTGAACCCTTTTGGTATATTCTCCCTAAGGGGAGGCGGGAGAGTGAGGATTGATGAAGGGGCCAGGTTGGTATTGCAGCTAAGTCTAGAGTCCCCCTCCATGCCTCCCTATCATCTTTGCTATAAACAATCATTGTCCTCCATGCAAACATGTAGGCATCTGGGTTTTAGAGATATTACTTGAACATACTCCGCCCCAAAAATCCCCCCTTTCATAAAGCTTGCATCCTTAGAGAGCAGGGAATATGGAGCTAACATCAAACAAGTAAATTCATAAGCAGATTCCAGTAATGATAAGTGGCCTGATGGAATTCAAAGTGACATGATAGGGAGTCCTTGGAGAGGTTATGAGCAAAGCTGCTATGACAAAGAGATCCCATTCATTTCAACCTGTTGTTCCACTAAGGTGTTGCCTGCAACTCCATGGGAGAGGGCACCTGGTTTCCATCTCTGCCTTGTAGTCTGTGGAAAGGCAAAAGCAGGGCTAAGGCCAGAATGGTCAATTCTTCCACCATTCAAACAAAACACTGCCTAAAGTTCCAGAAGCCACCACCTGGAACCTGGAGATGTTAGTCTTGTGGACACTCCAACTGCAGTGGAGCTTGTGAGAATGGGCCTCTTGGGGTCCCTGGTCCATGTGGCTACAGCTCTATCTTAGGGCAACTCGGCTCCTTGCACTCCTTGCCCAGGCTCAGATGGACCACAGACAGGAAGTGCTTCAAGAGAAATGGATGTGCATGCTCTATTTGCACATGGCCCCAGCCTGAGGACACATCTTTTTTCTTATGGGCCTCTGTGTCCAGGAAGTCCAGGCACAGGCTACTCTGCTTCTAATTTTGGTGAGCACAGCCTCAACACCCACCATTTCCACATCACCCTTTATTAGAGCTGTAAGAACAAGATCATGGTGGGATTTCCACATAGAGAGTGCAGAGGGCTCTTTCAACACTCCACCACACCCATCAGGGGGTCATTGCACCCTCTCCCTATGCTCTACCATGACAGGAAGCCCACTTCCTCTAGAAGCAGCCCATCCCATGGTTCATAAGTGAAAGTGCCTGATCAGAATGTTCCCCTCACAGGGAGTCCACCATGCCTCTCAGCACTCCTCTGCCCTGGCTCCTGGCTCTGCCCTCTGGGGCTGCAGTGCACCCAGCAGACCTCCTGCACAGATCATATCATCAGCCATCAAGCATGTTTGTGGGCAGACAAGCTAATAGAGCCTACAGGCTCAGTGCCTGGCAGCAGGAGGTGGTCTCTGGTTTGGGATTTTGTTTTTTGAAGGTGGTATATTGGTGATGGGTTGGGTTTTACCTCTAGTGGGATTTCTCCAGGCTATTCTGTTTAGAGTGATCTACCTTAAGCTGGAGTTGTATATGCAGGTAAGTACGTGAATAAATATACCCAGAGACATAAAAACTACAGTACGAATACCCGAATGTATGCAGAAAACCTCTCTTTATCACATAGTCGGGGTGTTAGCTTTAGAGGCCCTTTAGGCTCCAAGAATCCATGAGCCCATGGCCGCCCCACATACACATGCACAAATCAACCTTTGGTCTCCTGCTTTCCCCCTCTGATCTTGGCCTCTTCTCTTTGAAGAGTATGTGTGGTCCCCGGAGAGGCTGTACTTCTCCAGGCTAAGCAGCCTGGCTCTTTTTAATGAACTGGCTTCAAGATCCCACCAAATCCTGGGTGCCCTCCAGCCTGTAGCCAGCCTCTTTGAAGTACAGCAAACACTAGCCAGCTTCCCCGGGCACACAGTGGGTACTCATCAGGTCCGTCCTTGCCTCTGCTTAGAAATGTACCTCCCTGTGAGGTGGGGCAAGTATAGGTGGTCATCTGGGTGTTCATCACATGTCCTCTCTTGGGGCTGGGATTTGGGACTCAGCATCTTGTCCATGTGGACTGTGAGGGCATCAGGCATCAGGTAGAGGTAAGGATCCCCCCACCCTCAGTCTATAGCCCAAGAGAAACTAGAAACCTGAAAACCTCTATCTTCCTTGGATTTCTTTTCTTTCTTTTTTCTTTTTTCTTTTTTTTTTGGGGGGGGGGGTTTACTAGGGAATGAAGTCAGGGGCTCTAAACCACTGAGCCACATCCCCAGCCCTATTTTGTATTTTATTTAAAGACAGAGTCTCACTGAGTTGCTTAGTGCCTCACTGTTGCTGAGGTTGGCTTTGAACTTACAATCCTCCACCTCAGCCTCCTGAGCTGCTGGAGCTTCCTTGGATTTTGGCACAGGGGAGATGCATTTGAGGCGAGCAGGTGGTGGCCCCTGCTTCCCACCTGGGGGAAGCAGTGGCTACCTCAATCAGGTGTAATCCCCATCCCCTTCTTCCCCTCATTGGGAAAGGGTAGGGCAGTCCAATGCCATGAAAAGGGCTATTCTGATGCCTTGGTTACAAAACTCTCTCTGGAGACCAGCCCAGAGTGGGGAATAAGTGGCTATTTAGCAAATGTGGGAAGGGAGGAAAGGGGAGGGCAGAATCATGCTGCCTTCTGATTAATATTCATGAATTTTTTT